TGAACATGACAAGATGAGTCTTGTGTGTGTGTCCTTGGTTGTGAACACGACAAAGTGGGTCCCGTGTGTGTCCTTGGTTGTGAACATGACAGAGTAGTTCCCCGTGTGTGTCCTTGGTTGTGAACACAGCAAGGCGGGGCCCCATGTGTGTGCTTGGTCGTGAACATGAGAAGGTGGGTCCTGTGTGTCCTGGGTTGTGAACATGACAGGGTGGGTCCCCATGTGTGTCCTTGGTTGTAAACATGACAAGGTGCATCCCTGTGTGTCCTTGGTTGTGAACACAACAGGTGGGTCCTGTGTGTGTCCGTGGTTATGAACACGACAAGGTGGGTGCTGTATGTGTGTCCTTCATTGTGAACATGACAACTTGAGTCCCCTATGTGTGTGTCCTTGGATGTGAATGCGACAAGGTGGGTCTCTGTGTGTGTGTCCTTGGTTATGAACATGACAAGGTGGGTCCCGTGTATATGTCCTTGCTTGTGAAGATGACAAAGTGTGTCCCTGGTTGTGAACACGAACAAGGTGGGTGCTGTGTGTGTGTCCTTGGTTGTGAACATGACAAGGTAGGTCCTGTGTGTGTCGTTGGTTGTGAACATGACAAGGTGGGTCCTGTGTGTGTCCTTGGTTTTAACACGACAAGGTCGGTCCCGTGTGTGTCCTTTGTTGTGAACACGACAAGGTGGGTCCTGTGTGTGTTGTTGATTGTGAACATGACAAGGTGGGTCCTGTGTATGTCCTTGTTTGTGAACATGACAAGGTGGGTCCTGTGTGTGTCGTTGGTTGTGAACACGACAAGGTGGGTGCCGTGTGTGTGTCCTTGGTAGTGAACATGACAAGGTGGGTCCCCGTGTGTGTCCTTGGTTGTGAACATGACAAGATGGGTCCTGTGTGTGTCCTTGTTTGTGAACCCGACGAGGTGGGCCCCATGTGTGCCCTGGGGCAGCACAGAACCCTCCCCAGGTTCTGATTACCCAGACCCCTGCTTTCCCTCCTCTGCTGGGTATTTCTGCTTTTCCACCGGGGCGGGTATGTCAGGGTGGGAGTGGGGAGCCTGTATCTGCCACCTTTCCAGGAGCTGACAAACACTTGTCTAGAGAAAAGAATTAGAAATCCAAAACTCAAGTTAAATTGGTAGGTGGTCAAGTAAGTTTACCAAGGGCTCCGTGCATCTCTGTAGACAGGGCTTTGGGGACAAAGAAGGGAGAGTGGCCCTGCAGGAGTTCCTCTGCCTGTCTACCGTGTTCCAGAGCCTTCTGGGTGCTTTTACGAAGTACAGATTCCTGGGTGTCCCTCAGACCTACAGAATCAGGCCAGAACCTCTGGCCCCACTGAGCTCAGTCGCAGTGGAGCAGGAAACTGTGGGATCAGCATGTCCGGCCCATGTGCGGAGGGTGGCGGGTGTGATGGGAGAGTGGGTGTCCTCTGGCCTCCCAGGCCTTGGAGCGCATCTCCACCCACTCCGCCCACAGGCCAGGGGAGGCGCTCTTCCATAGGGTGAACCGCTTTCCACCTAGACTCCCTGTGGCCTGGAAGCTGTGGACCCTGCCACCCTCTTATTTCATTAGAACTCCTTTGCTGGAAAACAGTGCTTCCTGGTGCAGTCTCCCCCTTGTGAATGAAATCCCTGACCGGTGGGGGGAGGGGGGTGCAGAGACCCCACCATCAGGCCCCAGACCCTGCCGGCCCCCAGCCCTTGCTCTCTGCTCCTTAGCCACATCACAGGCAGCCTGGGCCCCAGGGGCTCAGTGCCCTGAAAACTGCCGTGCTGTGCCGGCCAGTGGCATGTGCCATGCTTTTGAAGGTTTCTGGGGGTGAATCTGGCCAGGATTCTGTCGGGCTGTGTGCCACCTGGCATTCCCCACCCAGAGCGGAGGACCACACAGTTCGGCAGCTCTGTCCTTGTGCGCGGTGCACAGACACATGGACCTGATGATGGCAAAGTTGAAGGAGAATCAGATGTCATCAGGGAAGGGGCTGTCCTACAAGCCCTCGGGAAGCCTCGGGTCCTCCTCTGAGCTGCTCCCCGGGTGTGGGGCTGGGGTTCATCTCCAGCAGCGGCATCAGGCTGGCCTGACCCCAGAGCGCCCCACCCCGCCATGGGGAAGCCATGGTCACACACCTGGGGTAGACCCACAAAATGTTTTTGAGTTTTACTTGAAGAAAGTTTAAAGAAGTAACAGTTTACATAATGTGGCTGACACCCATATCTTCCTCCCAGAACTGACATGACATCTTGAAATTAAGAAAAATCTAGAATTTTCTTAAATGAAAGCAGAGCGTTGTCTGTATACAGCCACAGACAGGGCCAGGTTCTGGGGCTGCACGTGTGTCCTGCCGGCTGCGGTACCTGGTCATACGCAGACTCCGCACCGCCCCTCGAGACAGCCGTTTCCTCAGTTTGCTGCATGTCTTTTCTGTTTTGTTTTTTTTTTTAAGATTTTATTTATTTATTTGACAGAAATCACAAGTAGGCAGAGAGGTAGGCAGAGAGAGGGGGAAGCAGGCTTTCCGCGGAGCAGAGAGCCCGATGCGGAGCTCGATCCCAGGATTCTGGGATCATGACCTGAGCCGAAGGCAGAGGCTTTAACCCACTGAGCCACCCAGGCGCCCCTTTTATCTGTTTTTAAGAAGAGCTTTCCGTGGGTGCGTAGGTGACCCCTAACCCGTGAGCAGCACACAATGACGTTTCCCGCACTTCTGAGGGCTGTGACCGGGACGTCCTCCTCCTTCTGTGTTGTTCTCCAGCCTGCTGCTTCCACCCCCTTCCGGGGGCACGCTTGACCCCCCCCCTTTCCCCCTGCAGCATCTTTAGCCTACGATCACAGTCCCCCGGAGGGTACCGTGGCCCATTCTGTGTCCTTGCATGGGTGTCTATGCATGCATGAGGGTTCTCCCAGCGGTGCCACGGGCCGGAGTACGCGGGGTCCCGTCAGGGTCACGTCTGCTGGGCGCTGTGGGCTGCGCTGCCCTTGAGCCATGCTGGCCTGGGTGCGTCCCTTCTGATGGCTGCTGCACCCCACCGCCCCTCAGCCCTGGCCCTTCTGTGCTCACATGGCCGCCCCGGGACCCAGTAAGGGGACCTGGAAGCCAGACCGAGGGTCCGAGTGCAGGGTGGGAACTGCTGCTTGCCCCAGCGGGGTCAGGGAAGCCGGCCCTGGGCCCAGGGAGGGCCATGTGCCAGGGGCTGTGGGAGCCCAGCTGCACTGGAGCCTGGTCGGCGGGGAGCTCTCTTGTGGGCTACAGCCCGGGGACTCTGCCATCGGTCTCCGGCCTCAGCTGGGGGGCCCCTGGGAGCCCCTGGGAATCTAAGAGGAAAGGACCCTGTCTCAGGCTCCGGACTCTTGGAAGGTGGTTCTGAGGCTCCTCCCATCCTCTGGCTCCATCCCAGACGGAGAAGCTTCTGGCCTAGAACTTCATTTTGGGCTGGTTTTTAAATGTTTCTTCTTTTAGGTATGCCCTCATGGTCATACCGCGCTGCCTCAAGTGCTGGGGTCTGTCATCCTTAAGAGGGGCAGGTGGGACAGGGCAGTTGAGGCAGGGGAGGCTGGCTTCCATCTGCCCTACCAGCCCCTGCTGGTTCCACCTGCCTTCCCCCCACCCTTGGCCCCGCTTGTCCCCCACCTCCTTCTGCCCTTCCCACAGCCCCCTGCGGCCTCTGCCTCCCCCCACCTGCTTCCATGCCCTCCTGCTCCCCCCCCCACCCCGCTCCCTCCTGCCTACTCTCCCCATCCCGGCCTGCCCCCGGCCCCCACTCCCCGCCTCCCCTGCTCCCCCGCCCTTCCTCCCCCTGCCCTAGACGCTGGTGCCTGCCAGGGGCTGGGCTGGCCGGCTCTGCAGCGGGCAGGGAGCAGCGGGCGCCCGGGCGACAGCCTCAGACAGCCGCGCACTGCAGCTCTCCAACAGCCCGGCCTCCTGCAGACTCGCTTCCCGCCTCCCGAGGCTGCAGAAGCCGGCTTCCTCTGGGAAGGGCAGGTCTCCGGTAAGGCAGCACCTCACTGCAGCTAGCCTGCCTCGCCTTCTCGGGCTTTGTCTGTTCGTCTGTTCGGGGCGAATGGTTGTGGGAAGGGAGGCTGCAGGGGGGGGTGGAGGGAGGGAGGCTGTGCAGAGCAGAGTCGGCAGAGGGCTGTGAAAGAACGCGCCAGGGTGAGCCCTGCCCGTGCCGGTGACGGGAGCCCGACCTGGGCTCCGTCTGGCTTCTGGGTTTGCAGCGGCATCAGTTTAAAAGACCACATCCTGGATGCATAAGACTTTTTCATGGGGGGGTGTATGTGCACATGTGTGCGTGCGTGTTTGCATGTGTGTGTGTCCGTGCACGCATGTGCGTTCTGACCTGGCCCTGGCGGGGGCGGCCTCAGGGGACAAGCAGCCATTCTGTCCTAGACAGACCAGCCGGCTCAGTGCGCCAGGCGACGAGGGCACGTTAAAGAGGTGTGCGGGGAGACTGTGCAGGTGACGCGGGCACTGTAGAGGGGGTGTGGGGGGGAACATGCAGGTGACGAGGGCACTGTAAGGGGGGTATGGGGGGACCATGCAGGGTTCTCGTCTCACCTGGTCACAACACGCACTCATGTACGTGTACATGGGCACTGTCCCCCCTGACGCACACGTGTGCACACACGCTGGTGGGCCAGCAGGGCTCTGGGGACAGGGCAGCGACTCACATGAGCATGGTGACCCAGCAGAAGTTGATGCTGCAGTGGGTTTGGCATTGGGAGGGGAGGGGCTGCGGTGCCGCTGCTAGGGATGGGGTGGGTCATGGGCTCCTGCAGGGCATCTCAGGTCATGGACGGCTGGGCTGCCTGCTTTTCGGAGGAAGCCCCAGAGGTGTCCCGGCCTGGCCGGGATGGGGTCAAAGGGTGGAATCTCACACGCTTCTCCAGCTCTGCTGAGCAGACAGTGCCTGGTGTCACGCGTGGGTCCGTGAGATCTGAATTCAGCGGTGCCCGGAGGCGAGCCTCAGTTAGCCTCTGACCATTTGCCCCGTGTTGCTTCTGTTTCAGGGATAAACGCCCAGGCCCGGAGGCTGCAGCGGCACCGTGCCAAGGGAACCCCAGTCCTGGCTTCAGGGGGCGCCCGGAGCCCCCCCATGCCCCCGCTGCGCCGCACCGTCAGTGAGAGCAGCCTGAGCTCAGCCGCCACCCAGGGCCCCGAGGAGCGCGCCCGGGACACCATGCGCTTCTCCCTCTACGAGTCGCCCCACCTGCTCCTCTTGCAGGGCTACAGCCAGCAGCACGTGAGCACCCCTGCCCGCCGCCCGGCCGTCCCCACCCCACGGAGTGGTCCGAGCCACCAAGTCAGCTCTGGCGTTGAAGAGGCTGTGGAAGCGGGGCTGTCCTAGATTCTGGAGGGAGCAGAGGCTTCCCCTGTGCTTGGTTTCCAAAGCATTCTCTGTCCAGGCCCCAGCAGGAGCCCGCAGGCAGGGGAGCTCACCTAATACCAGGTTCCTTCTCAAAGAATCGTCTGCCATCCTCCAGGCGGTGTCTCAGGCCATACCGTGCCCTGGCTGTGGGGACCCCGACATGGGCCCGCCCCCTTGTCCAGATGGGTGCTCGGCAGGCTTGTGGGGCTCCAGGCCAGGAGTGTGCTGCGGGAAGCCGCCTCCTCAGGCCCCCAGGCCCATGCTTCCCACCATGTCTGTGCGGGGCCCTTGGCTGGAGGGGCGGATTCCCCAGAAGCTCCTGCCGGCTCTTCCTCCCGGCTCCTCTGCTCCCCGCCGGGTTGCTGAGCCCCCTTCAGGCTCCACCGGTGCGCGCTGTGCGGCTCTCCGAGCTCAGCTTAGTCCTACCAAACCCGGCCTGGCGCCTGCAGGCTGTAGACGGGAGGCCGGACGGGGTTGCGGACGAGACTTTCCTGGGGCTCCACTCCAGCCCACAGGCAAGAGCTGGAGGGAAGGAGTCCTTAGGCGGACTCCCCGCGGAGAGGTCGGGGGTGGGGAGTTCCTTGGGCAGGGTCCAGAGGGGAGGGCGCCCTCCGTGCGTGTGTCCTCAGCGCGCTTCTCCATACACGGCACGTCTTACTAGCGCAGTAGACCTTCAGTCGTGGGGTGACTTGTCGCATTCCCGTGAGGCGGAGCTAAGTTGAGGGCCCCCAGTGGTCACCGCACACACTGGGAGGCCAGCGTCAGGGGCCCGTCTTGGTGCAGGCTGGTGCCGCCCGATCCCGCCGGTTCTTCTGGGTGCAGACTCGGTCTTTAGCCTGACATCTGCTTTCTGCACTGCTAAGACCTATTGCTCCAGAAACACAGGCTCAGGAGTTTTCTTACAGGAAGTTTCTTGTTTATGAAACAGTGTCAGTGCATGAGGGTTTGGGGAGACGCTGTCTCTCGAGGAGGCATCTGTCCTCGCCGAGCTGGAGCCGCAGGGGAAGGAGTTTGCCCACAGCGGGTCACAGATCACCGGCGGGGGTGAGGGGTGCTTGGCGGCTCTTGGCCATGCCTGTGAACCAGTGACTGTGCCCAGCGCGGCCCTTGTCGGGCCTCTGTTGTCTCTGAGCTGGAGTCATCCCTAGGTGTCCGGTGTGCCCCCGAGGCCTCCTCTGGTGCCTCCTCCTCCTCTGGTGTGCCCCCTCTCCTGGGGACAGCATGGGTGCCCAGTGTGGGGCAGGCTGGGGCCAGCAGTAACCTAGGAAGGGCTCCAGGGCAGGGCTGGCCCAGGATGGCAGCCCTGGCCATGTGGCTTAGGTGACCAGAGATGGGGACACCTTTTCCTTTCTTCCCAGTGACAGATTTGCCCGAGGTGGTGTCCTGCTCCTGAGGCCTAGTATTTGCATTTCAGGACAGCCTGGTGTACCTGCTGAACCGGGAGCAGCATACGGTGGGCCAGAGGACCCCGTCCAGCAAGCCCAGCGTCAGCCTCTCGGCCCCAGATATCCTGCCCCTGCACTGCACCATCCGCAGGCACCAGCCCCCGGGCCCGGAGCCGGCGGCGAGCAGGCTGGTGCTGGAACCTATCCCCGGGGCGCCCGTCTCTGTCAACTTCGCGGAGGTTGGAGGCCGGGCCGTGGTGCTGCGCCACGGGGACTTGCTTTCCCTTGGCCTATACTACCTGTTGCTGTTCAAGGACCCAGCGCAGGCCCAGCCCCTGCCTGCCCAGGCCCTGGCCCGGCTGCGTGCCATGCCACGGAGTTGCGGGCTGTGCGGAGCCGTGCTCCGGGCCCGGGGCACCTCGGCCTCTGGCTCCGCGCCGGCCACCCTGCCCCGGCTGAGGCCGCTGCACCTGGAGTTCGAGCCAGAGGTGGAGGACACGCTGCTGCAGAGAATCCTGACGCTGGTTGAGCCTGGGGGGGACGACCACAAGCTGGCCCCCGCCTTCCTCCTCTGCCTCTGCATCCAGCACTCGGCCACCCGCCTGGAACCTGGCTCATTCGGGCAGCTGCTGCTCAAGATCGCCAAGGCCATCCGAGAGACAGTCTGGGTCAGTCACGGGCGTGCTGGGTGCGGCCGTGGCAGGTGGGAGGGTGCTTGTGGCTGTGGCAGGAGCTGGGTGGGAACTGGGGCCACCTGTGGGAAGTCTGAGGGCCAGCCTGCCCTGCCTGTGCACACCCAGTGAGCCCAGGGTGTCCTCTGTGGCGCTTTGTCCCTGTGCAGTCAGCTGTGGCATCCTGAGCTCTGGTCCCGTGTCCCTCCCAAGTGCAGCCCAGCCACGGCATGCCCCTGAGCCCCCGAGCCCCAACACCCACTTGGCCTTCGTGCCCTGTGCTTTCTGCCAGGAGCAGGCTGGGCTTCTGCCAGCACTCTGGTGTGGAGCCCTCATCAGCCGGTGGTGGGGGCACAGGACTGGCTGGCTTCTGTACGTGGAAACACTTCCCTCCGTCAGGGTGTCTAGAGCACAGTACCACGCCTGTTTGGGCCCGGCTGGGGGGCCGGCCTGCATGTGGTCCGATGTCAGCCAGCGCCCCTGGGCTCCACCTGCTGCCTGCCAGCGCTCCCTTCCCGGCCCGGAAACGGCTCCGGGCCCCGCCAGGCATCCCCTGGGGGCAAGTGCAGACCTGTCCCTGCAGGGCCCGGGCAAGCGCGCTGCAGGCTGCCTGGGTCCAGCCCTCAGGGTCCCCACCGACTCCTGGCCCCTCCCACCCTCTACTGCCTGGACTCCCCGGGGACCCAAAGCGTGGCTGGTGGTTACACACAGTCCCTCCAAGAGTTGCCCATTCATCCTGGCCTGTAAACTGCGTAGATTGTAGAAACTGAATGGGGTCCTAAGATTAAAACCCACATTTAAAATGTTCAAAGCCTTTTAAAAGCAAAAACCAACATGGGCCGTCACATCCAGAGATTTGTGTAAGTTACCCATGTGCATGGCGGGCATCTGAACCTCCCAGGGTTCCCGCATGGATCGATGTTGGGACTGTTCTGGTGTGGTCGCTTCCCTTGTGTGGTCTGTGCTCGGGCCAGGTCAAGTCCGTGCCATGCGGGAACCCGACCACACCAGGGCCTGCGGTGACTGTCTACACAGAACACCGTCCCATCCTAAGTCAGCTCTGGGGCGGACACTTCCTAGTGAGCCAGACGCTATGATGCCTGTGCCATAGGCCATGTCCCAGCTGGGGAAACTGAGGCTTGTCGAGGTGAACAACCTCATCCAAGGTCTGGAGCTCAGAAGCAGAGGAGTCCAGACCTAGGCCATTCCCTGTGTGCCTCCCCACATGCTTCCCCCTGTTCGTGGGCCTCAGCCCTGGTCTTCTGAGAGCCCCAGACATTTCGTTTGTCCGTCTGTGTCTTGGGCATCAACTGCTCTATCTCCCACCCACTTGAGGCAGATCCTAGAACAAGTAACAGGGTCAGCAGCTAGGGCTCTGCTTAGACAGAAGACAACTTGCTACGAAAGCAGAAACCATTTCCTTTCTCTTCCTTTTTCTTTTTTAAAAAATGTTTTATTTATTTGACAGTGAGAGAGAGAGAGAGATCACAAGCAGGCAGAGAGAAAGGAGGAAGCAGGCTCCCCGCTAAGCAGAGAGCCTGACACAGGGCTCAATCCCAGGACCCTGGGATCATGACCTGAGCCAAAGGCAGAGGCTTTAACCGACTGAGCCACCCAGGTGCCCCGCAGGAACCATTTCTTGATTAAAAAGGACAGAAAATGTTGGTTAAGCCTGCGTCCCTGCTGGGATGTTTAACTGTACTGTGGACACCTGAGCACACGTCCGTCTACTCACTGCCCCAGTGGCGGATGCCAAAGAGCCTGTGTGTGAGGCTCAACGGTAAGCGGCGTCGAGTGTTCATTCCGGGGTGTGTGAAATGTGTGACCACTTAACTTCTCACAGCGCCGGTGAGCCAGGGGGTGTAGGTTCTGTCTGCTGCGGGAAGTGCGCAGGTCACATTCAGGAATGGAACGGAAACTTATCCTTTCCAGCCGCGCTTCCGGTAAACAGCCCGCACGGTGCAGGATGTCTGCCGCAACAGCGCCGTGGTTTTTAGGTGGACGGTGTCCTGTGGATTTAGTGGTGTTCTCATGGAGCGCATCCTGTGGTATCCTGTGTTTTCTCATGTTTGCTCTCTTGTCTTTGTAACTGTAGGAGAAAACCAAAGAACTGGCGGAGAAGCAGGCGCAGCTGTAAGTCTGGCTTCCCCGTGGGCCCCTAGATCCCGGGAGACCTGCACCACCCCATGGGGCCAAGATGGGCGGGGGCAGACCTTTGGGGTCAGCTGTGGGCTTCTGTCGCACTGTCCTTCTGTCTCTGAGTGGCTGTTTCCATGTCTGCGCTCGGCCCCTGGGAAGCGCTGGGTTTGGGGAGTTTCTCCAGGGCGCCCGTTAGACCGAGTCGGCGAGAACCTCTCCAGAGCCTCGTCCTGCCTTCACTTCCCCTAACGACGGTGCTCCAGAGAGCCCGCCTCTTCGGGAGAATGCAGACTCCGGGCGTGGAGCTAGGGCAGTCCGTGTCCATTGAAAGCCCTGTTGTTGCGTCCAGAGTGCTGCTGGGACTTGGCAAACTGGTGTTAATGATGGGGACGGGCACGTGCAGCCACCCAGCCGTGTGCACTCCCGAGGAGGCCCTGCCATGAGGTGCTGGCACACGGGGCGCACGCGGCCCACTCCTAAGTCCTCGTCCATAAGCGCAGAGGCTAGAACAAGCCACGTGCCCCGGGGGCAGCGTGCCGTGGGGTTGTGCCGTGGACGCTTGGGAGACAGTGAGCGTGAACACCCCATGCGCTTCGCCTGCATTGGAATCCCGCCCTGGCACGCAGCGGAGCCCCACGATGTCACTGCAAGTGCGCTTGGCGTCCCTCTGGGCCGTGCGGGTGCGGCAGCTGCCAAGGGGCCGTGGTCCCAGGGGTGATTCCCGCCCCTCGCAGCTGGGTCCGTGGTCTGCTCCACTCTTGTGTCTGCCGCTGGTCCACAGCGACTGTGCTGTAGCCATAGTGCTTCGGTGTCGTCCCGGTCCTGCGACGGGCAAGGACTCGGCTCCGCCCCTGTTGCAGGCAGGGACTGGAGCCTGGGGCCGCAGACCCCCCCACCCCTCCCCCATGCGCCAATGGCTGGAGGTGGAGTGCGGTTCCTGCCGCTCGCACACGCGGGCTTCTTGGCCCGTGCTGACAATAGGGGACGTGTTCAGGGCCCAGTGCAGTACCCCCAAGGCCGAGTCTGCTCTGGGAGGCCCAGGCTCTGCCGCCCAGCTCACCCTGCGGCGCTCAGTGTAGACCAGGCCCCTCAGAGGGCAGTGGAGACAACAGCGCCGACCACTGTGCTCTAGGTTTTCTGTGTGAGGGGCTGGCCTTGGGGACCCAGGGGCAGGTGTGGCCACCTCACCCTTGCCCCCCAGCCTGAGGGACAGGCTGGCTTCCAGGTGGTGTTGGGGCCTGGAGGGGATGGAGCCGAGGATTTAGGGGCTCACCCAGCCCTCACCCTAACTAGCTCCTCCTCCTCCCGAGTGCCCACTCATCGGGGAAACTGAGGCATCCCCCCAGCAGCTCCTGCCCGGTCTGCGTCCAGAACGCCTGTTGTTAGGGCCAAAAAACAGCCCCGAGTCCATCCCCAGGGAATGTTGCCTTTCTCCTTTTTAAACAGTTTTTGATTCACTGCCAAAATGTAGAAAAGCACAGAAGACAGCAGTCACCCAAGAACCTACACCCAAGCTTCACGTCATGAACATTGTGCCCCGCGGGCTTCAGGCTCTTGTGCTGTGCTTCTTGTCACACTGCGGGCGACTGGGGACCTTCACCGCGTGCTTTTTTTGCCCCTGTGGTCCTCGGCCTTCTCCCCGGGCGCCCGTGAGCGCGGGCGCGGCGCTAGCTGCTCTTTGCATCCGGATTTGTGGCTGAGTCCCTGGGATTCAGCTCTTCGTGGCTACGGATTTGTGCAGGATGGTGACTGACAGTTTGTGGACATTTTAATTAGCATTTTTTCACCTGAATTCACACGTCAAAGTGATCTAGGATTTTTCACCCATTGTCCTGGTCTGACTTTAATAGCAAGGGTCCCAGAAAGCGAATGGGGCCACTGTTTCCAGTTCCCTGCATCAGGTCGTGTGTGGTGAGACCGTGGGGGCTGGCGAGGTAGCCTGTGGGAGCATCTGGGCGCCCCGGCCCGGCCTGCTTCGTCAGTGATTATCGGTGTGTCTGGTTCTGTCCCTCTGCTTGTATTGATTTTGGGGACTTCTGCTTTTGTCCTCCAAGTTACTAGGATAAAATTGTTCCTTGTATTCTTTTGGTACTATTTTCATCTCTCTTGTATTTAGTTCCCTTCTTCTTTCTCTGCCTGCCTCTCTTTCTACTTGTGATCTCTGTCAAATAAATAAAATCTTAATAAAATTTTTTTAAAAATTTTTAAGATTTTATTTATTTGACAGATTGAGAGAGAGAGAGAGTGCACAAGCATGGGGAGCAGCAGAGGGAGAGGGAGAAGCAGACTCCCTGCTGAGCAGGGATACCGATGCAGGACTTGATCCCAGGACGCTGGGATCACAACCTGAGCCGAAGGCAGACGCTTATCCAGCTGAGTCACCCAGGCGCCCCCAAAACCACCCCTTTAAGTTCTGAAGTGCGTATTAGCAGTTTCCAGTCTCTCCCTCCCTCCAGCCCCTGGCAGCCACCATTCCGCGTGGGTTGGACCTCCTCAGATATCTCAGCAGAATCTTGTGGTATTTTTCCTTCTGTGATCGGCTCAGTCCACTTCGCGGAACGTCTTCAGGGCTCATCTGTGTCCTAGCACACTGCAGGGTTTCCTTGATTTTTTAAAGGCTGAAATACATTTCATCAGACCACGTACCAGATTTAGTTTTTACCCTGTCCTCCGTCCGTGGACACTGAGTGTGACCCGCGTGTCCCGTATCGGCAGCCGTGCAGCGCTGACCCGGGCACCGCTCGGCGATCCCGATCGGTTCCTTCGGGTGAATACGCAGACGTGGACTTGTCGGGTCAGACGGCGGCGCCATTGTCCATGTTCTGAGGGTGTCCGTCCTGTTTCCCACAGCGGCCGCTCCCTTTTGCACCCACCCCCCAGCAGTGCACAAGGGTCTCCGGTCTCTCCACACTCTCTCCGACACTTGTCATCTCTTGCCCTTTCGACGACGGCCACTCCAACAGGTATGAGGCGAGTGCGCGTCGTGGTTTTGGTTTGTGTTCACCTGGCGGTTGGCGAGGCTGAGCACCTCCCTGCGTGCCCGTTGGCCGTCTGGAGGTCTTCTCTGGAGAAGTCTCTCTTCAGGTCTTCAACCCATTTTTTATCCAGGTTGTTAGTGTTTTTTGCTTTCGAATGATTGACGTTCCTCCCGGGTCTGGAAACTAGCCCCGCTCAGATGCAGGGTTTGCAAGTGTTTCTCGCGTGCCGTGGGTGGCTTTTTCACTCTGCTGTGGCTTCCTCCACTGTGCAGGAGCTTGGCAGCATGAGGTCATCCCACTTGTCTGCTTTTGGGGTCCCATCCGTGAAACTGTTGCTTCTGCTCCGTGCTCACTTGAAGGGAGGGCCCAGACTCCCCGAGTTCGTGCACTGCTGCGTGTGGCCTGCGGGGGCAGGTGTGCTGCGATTCGACTCCGAAACGCCACTTGGCCACACCTGGTGGTTGGCTTGTCAGGAGAGGCCCTTCTGTCCCTTTGAGTTCTGGGTGAAATTGAGAAGGGCCGCGGATGTGGGAAACACAATGGAATTCGGCTCCAAAGAGCCCGATTGATCCTTTCTTACTGACCCGCAGCACTCGGGGCTCTGGAAGACGAGCGGGGGGCGGCAGCCGCAGACCTACCTAGCAGTGAGAGCAAGGACACCCGGCCCAAAGCCACTGCCTTCCCTCGCGGGGAGCAGGGCAGAGAGAGCGGTCACACCGCAGTGACACGAGCGAAGCTACGTCAGAGCAATGAAACTGCAGGCACGAGAGGAACATGTACATGGGAGCCTGAGGTCCCCGCCCGGGCCCACAGGGGCTGCCTCACAAGCCGACCACCGTGACCCTGGCTGTGACCATCATGAACGACAGGAAGTCCCTGAGCTGCGGTGATGCCCACCAGGCAGGACAAAGGGCCCTGTGCTCTGGCCAGGCCCGGGGACAGCACTGTCCTCGCAGATGCCGCCGCCTGGCCTGCCGCTGTTGGTCGGCCTGCGGAGTCGCTGTTCTGGCGCGGGGTCCTTGCACCGTCGGGCACCCAGGGCGCTGTCCCTCGCAGACAGACCTGAGTCACATCTGGGTGGTTTGCTGCTCAACGGATCTGTGCTCACCTGTCAGGAGAGTCCCTGGGTACAGTCATGCTGGCCCCGGAGACCGTGTCCTGGCCCTGCAGCCACCAGGCTCGGGCATCCTCAGAGGCCACCACAGCGCAGCCTGCTGACCTGCCTCCGCTGAGTGGGTGCGACAGGACAGGACATCAGGCCCAGAGAGACTGGCCCTTACGCCTGCAGTCAAGGAAACCCCAGAGCTCGGCATGGCCTCGCTGCCTCCTCCCCCGGACTTCTGGAGAGTGGCTCAGGACAGTGCTGGGGGCTTCCTGCCACAGGCACAAGGTCCTGGATCCCAGGGGCTGGTGCACAGGAGACCAGAGGCGAGGAGAGGGGCCTGGGGTGGGTCTGGGCTGGGCCAGACCCCGCTGGACCCAGGAGACAGGTGGCCCTGATGTTGCCATCATCCCCCAGAAAGGGAGCATGGAGTCTCAAGGTGCCGGCTCAGGAGGAAGGAGTGCCCCCAGGGCTACCTCCAGCCCGAGCTAGCTGTGGCCCAGGCTTGTAATGGGCATCAGAGGGGTGGGAAGATTCCAGCCCTGTGCCCGGTGCCTGGAAGCTTTCTGATTTAACGAGCTGCAGCGACACGTGCGGCCCTACCAGGGGAGTCCGTGTGAAGAGCTTGTGTAGGCAGCACCAGGCCCGAATTGGGCAGCTTCTGGTTTCCTGACTGTTAACCCTAAGTCTCCCAGTGACGCGCTCTCAGGGCCTTGTCTGACCCACGGAGTCTCCATACCATCTTCCGACTACGACCAGGAGTTTTTAGCTAATCCTGCTCGCGCGCCTCCCACAGCAGTTCGTTTGCTGTTGGTTTAGCGTCAGCGACAGCCTGACACTCGGGCTGCTGCTCCCGCCCGCCGGCCGCCCCCTCCCGTACACACCCACGCGCTCCTCCACGCTCCCTCCTTGTCTCAGTCCCAGAAGAGAAGATGCGAGAAGAGTTTACAAGCATCCTTTCCCAAGGGCTGTGGCCCCTGGTGGCCCTTCCTGCACCGTCTGGAGAGCGTGCGTCTCCAGCCCACGTGTCCCGCGGCTTGTCTGTGTACCCCCTGTCCCAGCTGGGCCGCGGTGGGTTTGCTGGGGTCCCACTGGTGTCCTGTTGGAACGAACGTCCTTGTGTGCACAGTGCTGATCTGGCCTCCCTTCCTGGAGGCCCGTCCGGGACTAACTCTGGGTCTTCTGTCTTGGCAGCCAGGAGCCCCTGTCCCTGGCCAGCTTCCCCATGGCGGGCCTGGTCCCGGACCTGCAGCACATTCTCTTCTGGATGTCCAACTCGGTGGAGCTGCTCTACTTCATCCAGCAGAAGTGCCCGCTCTACATGCAGAGTCTGGAGGAGGAGTTGGACGTCACAGGTGCGGGCTGCCGCTCCGGGGCGAGTGTGGGGACAGGGGGGCCCCCAGGGGGGGGCAGTGGCCCGGCCCCTCTTCATCCCAGGCTGGAGTCGGCTGCTCAAACCAAGGGAGGTGGCACTGTGTCCAGGTCCCTCTGAGAGGGGGTGACCCTGGCGGTCAGGCAGACCCAGCCTCGTGTCCCCTGTTGTGTCATGCACTCAGTGTCTTCCGCTGCGTGTCGCCGGGGGAGGCTGGTAGAAAGCATGCGGTGCCTCGGCCCCGGGCTCTCCCTTACTGGGGGCTCTGGGGTTTCTGAGAGGAGACACGGTGCCCCAGGGGCTGGGTGGCTTCGGGACTCTGTGGCAGGGAATGTGCCCGCAGAACCTGAGATGGCAGCACTGGGAGAGACTGCCTGGGGCAGCCAGAGGTGGGGGCTTCCAGAAGAGCGTGGCTTCAGCTGGCCCTGAGGCTGGCTGTGACTTCAGTTGCCACGTGTCTGCCTCGTGGCCCCAGGAACGAGTGGGGAAGGAGGGTGGGGTGGCTCCAGGGGCCGGGGCCACAGCCTTCCGTGGGTGAACCGGGTTTTGATCCAGCTCCTTCACTCCTGTAACAAAACCAGAGCCGCTCACCCACCTCTGTCCCTGTGGTGGGGGGGTCCTGGGCAGGCGTGGTCAGCGGCCCTGCCCCTGAAGGCTGCTCCCCCACCCCCCGCTCCCCCCGGAGCTGGGAGGGAAGCCAGGCAGGCAGGCTGGGCCTGGCCAAGGCTCCCCTGTGGGCTCAGTCTGCCGGACGCAGCTAGGCGTCTGTGTGCTTAGCTGTGTCTCCCGGGGGGTGGCCGTGGGCTCCGTGTGGGAGAACCCCGAGCACATAGCCTGGGGCCCTGGACCCGGCCCTGGACCTTGTCCAGGTGGTGTGGGACCCTGCTGAGCCCCCAGGAGGGGCTAGATTACCAGAGCTGAGGGGCTCCTGGTGACTGACGGTGAGGAGCGGTGGTCTGCACAGGGCAGGCTGTCCTACTGTGTGCTGGCTCAGCCGCCTGGGAGCTCTGCAGATGGGTGGGCCGGAGGGCCAGCTGGGCCAGTGCTGGGCCACGTGGAGCCAGTGGAGGAGGCCTGGTGGGGACGTGTCGGGGTGATGGGACACAGAGCCAGCCGCTGTGTCTGGGTCCCTTCTCGTCAGTCATGGCTTCTTTGTGTTTTCTTATCCTCCACCTCAAAGTGAAAGGGACATTGGGAACTTCCTTGGGCTTCTGGGGCCTGGGAATTAGGGCTTCTGGGGAGATGTAGAGGGATATACTGGAACCTTCTGTGTCCCAGTGGGCATTTAGGCCTGTTGACCTATTGCCCCCATCCCTGTTATCCTTGGGTGTACGTTGTGCAAGGCGTCCAGTGAGACCTCGCGGGACAGGCTGCTATGTGCTCTGTCCCAAGGCCTGGGCCTGAAGTAGCCCGTTACCTGGTTTTTTCCCCCAAATATGACATAAACAGTCTTCCCTGTGCGTCTCCAAAGCCAGGGCACTGGGCTGTCCCGAGCTTGGTGCTTCCAGAACCTCGGGCCTCCCTCTTCTGAAGCCTGTCTCCTTGCGGCCTCCAGCGGTTCCAAGCGGAGGGGCCCCTCTTCTGGACGTGGCGCTGGCCGGGGAGCACTGGGCCTCTGGCTGGTCTCCAAGCGCCTGTGGCCCTTCTGAGGTTGGGGGTGTTGACAGCAAGTCCCCCCATCCTGGCCGCAGCAGAGTGAGCGGGGAGAACTGCTGCTGCCGTGGCTTCTGGGCACAGTGTTGGTGGGTGAGTCCCGCGGCCCCATCTCGTCTGCCCTGGTTTCACACGCTCTGCGGAGAGGCTGTGGTCTTTGGGTCCCGTCGGGCCTGCTGCCCGAGCACAGGGACCCCGCATCTGGCTGCGTTAAACGGGCTACTTGGAGCTGGTGGGGGCTCCACTTCCGTAGCTGCTGCCTCTGCTCTCGGAGGGAGTTATTTTTGGTCTGGCCCTGGAGGTCGTTTAGGCTGGCTGATGCTGGGAGAGAGAGCTGCTGCGTGGCCGGGGCCCCGCCTCTGTCCACCCTGGGGAGTGTGTGGGCCGGGGAAGCTGTGGCAGGACCCGGGCATCCCACAAACAGTGTCCTGTGTGGGGCAGGCGCTGGAGAGCTTGGAGGAAACATCACATCAGCAGAGGCCAGAGGCCAGAGGCCAGGTTAGAGTCGCCTCTCGGCCTCCTGACCTTCAGCAGGAAATTTCTGTGGGAAGAATTCTGAAAACAGATGTCACGTCCTGAATACTGGAAAATCGCCTTTGCGTTCCGCAAACAATCTCGGTTGTTCCAAGCTCTTACCCAGGACGCCTCCCTCCCACGGGCAGCCGGGAGGTGGGCCCAGCAGGGGTGGGGGCATTTTATCCACGGAGAGCTCTCTGGGTGCCTTCGTGGCTTTGCCTTAGCCATTATGGATCTGGGGGCCTCAAGTACAGGCCCCTGACCCCCAAAGGGCTTCTGTGAGTGTCAGCTTGGTCGGAAACTGAGCACAGGGACCCTGTATCTGGGAGCAACCCAGCAGAGCCTGCACCACGGGAGCAAGTGTTTCAGCTGGTTTTCCCCGTGGCATCAGAGAGACCCATGTGGCATCTGCCGGGAGCCTCCCCATGGCTGTGTTCCGCAGAGTCCTGGCCGCCGCCTCTTTCTGCCGTCCCTCCTCTGCCAGAGCCCTCATGCCCCTGCGGGGGGTAGAGGTGGGCTTTCTCAGACAAGTTGGCCGCCTGGAGGTCCCCTGGTCTGGGCCCCGCTCCAGGGAGAGGGTTCGGAACTGGTTCCTTGGTCCGGGTCCTGCTGGCTTCGGTCGGCCGGGGGTCACGTTTGATCTACAGGGGCCGTGGTCAGCAGTGGGCACCTTGCGTGCTTCTGAAAGCCTGGGGTTGCTACAACCCAGCAGCCTAGTAAGAGCCTCTTGCTCCCCCAAGCCATGGGACCCCCACAAGGTGGGTGCTGTGTGTGTGTCCTTGGTTGTGAACATGACAAGGTGGGTCCTGTGTGTGTCGTTGGTTGTGAACATGACAAGGTGGGTCCTGTGTGTGTCCTTGGTTTTAACACGACAAGGTCGGTCCCGTGTGTGTCCTTTGTTGTGAACACGACAAGGTGGGTCCTGTGTGTGTTGTTGATTGTGAACATGACAAGGTGGGTCCTGTGTATGTCCTTGTTTGTGAACATGACAAGGTGGGTCCTGTGTGTGTCGTTGGTTGTGAACACGACAAGGTGGGTGCCGTGTGTGTGTCCTTGGTAGTGAACATGACAAGGTGGGTCCCCGTGTGTGTCCTTGGTTGTGAACATGACAAGATGGGTCCTGTGTGTGTCCTTGTTTGTGAACCCGACGAGGTGGGCCCCATGTGTGCCCTGGGGCAGCACAGAACCCTCCCCAGGTTCTGATTACCCAGACCCCTGCTTTCCCTCCTCTGCTGGGTATTTCTGCTTTTCCACCGGGGCGGGTATGTCAGGGTGGGAGTGGGGAGCCTGTATCTGCCACCTTTCCAGGAGCTGACAAACACTTGTCTAGAGAAAAGAATTAGAAATCCAAAACTCAAGTTAAATTGGTAGGTGGTCAAGTAAGTTTACCAAGGGCTCCGTGCATCTCTGTAGACAGGGCTTTGGGGACAAAGAAGGGAGAGTGGCCCTGCAGGAGTTCCTCTGCCTGTCTACCGTGTTCCAGAGCCTTCTGGGTGCTTTTACGAAGTACAGATTCCTGGGTGTCCCTCAGACCTACAGAATCAGGCCAGAACCTCTGGCCCCACTGAGCTCAGTCGCAGTGGAGCAGGAAACTGTGGGATCAGCATGTCCGGCCCATGTGCGGAGGGTGGCGGGTGTGATGGGAGAGTGGGTGTCCTCTGGCCTCCCAGGCCTTGGAGCGCATCTCCACCCACTCCGCCCACAGGCCAGGGGAGGCGCTCTTCCATAGGGTGAACCGCTTTCCACCTAGACTCCCTGTGGCCTGGAAGCTGTGGACCCTGCCACCCTCTTATTTCATTAGAACTCCTTTGCTGGAAAACAGTGCTTCCTGGTGCAGTCTCCCCCTTGTGAATGAAATCCCTGACCGGTGGGGGGAGGGGGGTGCAGAGACCCCACCATCAGGCCCCAGACCCTGCCGGCCCCCAGCCCTTGCTCTCTGCTCCTTAGCCACATCACAGGCAGCCTGGGCCCCAGGGGCTCAGTGCCCTGAAAACTGCCGTGCTGTGCCGGCCAGTGGCATGTGCCATGCTTTTGAAGGTTTCTGGGGGTGAATCTGGCCAGGATTCTGTCGGGCTGTGTGCCACCTGGCATTCCCCACCCAGAGCGGAGGACCACACAGTTCGGCAGCTCTGTCCTTGTGCGCGGTGCACAGACACATGGACCTGATGATGGCAAAGTTGAAGGAGAATCAGATGTCATCAGGGAAGGGGCTGTCCTACAAGCCCTCGGGAAGCCTCGGGTCCTCCTCTGAGCTGCTCCCCGGGTGTGGGGCTGGGGTTCATCTCCAGCAGCGGCATCAGGCTGGCCTGACCCCAGAGCGCCCCACCCCGCCATGGGGAAGCCATGGTCACACACCTGGGGTAGACCCACAAAATGTTTTTGAGTTTTACTTGAAGAAAGTTTAAAGAAGTAACAGTTTACATAATGTGGCTGACACCCATATCTTCCTCCCAGAACTGACATGACATCTTGAAATTAAGAAAAATCTAGAATTTTCTTAAATGAAAGCAGAGCGTTGTCTGTATACAGCCACAGACAGGGCCAGGTTCTGGGGCTGCACGTGTGTCCTGCCGGCTGCGGTACCTGGTCATACGCAGACTCCGCACCGCCCCTCGAGACAGCCGTTTCCTCAGTTTGCTGCATGTCTTTTCTGTTTTGTTTTTTTTTTTAAGATTTTATTTATTTATTTGACAGAAATCACAAGTAGGCAGAGAGGTAGGCAGAGAGAGGGGGAAGCAGGCTTTCCGCGGAGCAGAGAGCCCGATGCGGAGCTCGATCCCAGGATTCTGGGATCATGACCTGAGCCGAAGGCAG